TAATTTGATCCCAGTGTTTTCCATCCAGCGATGTACAAGTGTAGAATGTTTATGTTGCTTGAAGAAGGTATTTGCAATAAATAATTAAACAATATATACAGTGGTACCTCGGGTTACGAACTTAATTCGTTCTGTGACTCTGGTCGCACCCCGAATTGGTCGCACCCCGAAGGAAATTTCCCCATAAGGTTCAATGTAATTACCGTTAATCCGTTCTGGCGTGGAGGACAGGGAGGCGGCTATTGCTTGGAGGGAGAGTCCCCCTCCCTATGACCATGTGTCGGGGGCGGAAAATGGCCACGGACCACGTGTCAGGGGCGGAAAAATGGCCGCGGACCATGTCACAGGAGGGAAAATGGCCGCATATCCTGCTCGTACCCCGAGGCGGCGGTCGCAAATCGAGGGAAATTTTTTCAGCCGGAGCCGGTTGTAACCCGACAAGTTCATTAACAGAGGTGTTCGTAACCTGAGGTACCACTGTATATATTGTTTAATTATTTATTGCAAATACCTTCTTCAAGCAACATAAACATTCTACACTTGGACATCGCTGGATGGAAAACACTGGGATCAAATTAATTACATAATAGGAAATACAACATGGAAAATAAAGTCTAGTTAGCCAGCACACTTCCATATGTTCTTGTGGAACATACCATGAAGTTATCAAATATATGGATTTAATAGAGAAAATAGGCATGTCAGCAAGACATCCTGGAAAACATACAATCAAATCAATGTAATGAACTGATATAAAATGCTTACTTATGCAGAAATGAAGCTGAGAAGTGATGGGAAGAAATAAGAGACATTGTGACAATCAGAACAGAAAAAAAAATTTCAAAGCGAAAAAAGATTGAAGTGGCTTTCAGAAAAGATGGAAAATGAAGGCTTGGGGCAAGAACAACAACAAATGATGAGGAAATGCAAGACTTCCAACCTCAAGCAAGAAAGAACCAAAACCCCCCAAAAAACCCTCACTCAAGAGTGCAGCCAAATAGAGAAAATTAATAATAAAAAGAGAAATGTGGATTAAAGATATCCACAGGAACAAGGCTACTCAAGAGTTAGGAGATAACAAATCTGATAGAGGCAAAGGGATTCAAGGAAAAAAGACTGTACTGAAACCCTTTAAAAACAGGACAGAAATGTTTGGGAGAAATAATTATATGTAGGACAACTAAAAAGTGAAGATTGACAGGCAAGAGAGCAGTTGTCAAGTAGGAAAGTACCAAGTGCAGAGGAACTGAAGAATTCCTTAAAGTAGCAGGAGAAAAGGCAGTTAAAGTGTTAATAGCTGTATGTCAGCAAACATGGAGGAAAATGGTGTGGCTTAGATATTGGAGCAGACCACTGTATATATTTATATGGAAAATGAGAGATGGCAAGAAGTTGGATAGATTACTGAATTACATTGATGCAGTAATTCCTCATACAAAAAGCATTTACTTAAGATTTTACATAGAAAAGTAGAG